CCACTCACAGGATGAGTGGCGCTGCCCAATACTGTCACTATGGCGGTGTGTCCGCTCACAGGATGAGTGACGCTGCCCAATACTGTCACTATGGCGGTGTGTCCACTCACAGGATGAGTGACGCTGCCCAATAAACTCGCCCCTCGTTGCAAAATTAAAATTAAGCCAAGTATAACCAGCATTGCAAGATGACTTTAACAAGTAACAGCTACACAGGCCCCCCTCGAGCACAACTAGGTGAGTACAGGTAATATGTACAGGAATTTTGAGAATTATTCTCCTATCTGTTTAAGGCAAGGTGAACAGAGGCATCACGTGTAAGGAAATGAGTCCACCTATTTCTGTCCTCCCGAACAATTAAACCCGAGATCCCCGATTGTGAGTCAGGAGCGAAGCCAACTGTTTTATGAGACCATTGCTGCTGTTACAGTTTGTACAATCGGTACACGAGTTATATGTAGGGAGTTGGTATTTACATGATATTTAATTATGCATATTCGATATGTCTTACCTCGATATAAGTCCACTGTGTATGCATACACTCTGGCTTCCTGTGCCCAACACAATTAATTATTTTAATTATATTTGGATACATGCAGACGAGAGCAAATTTACCAGATTCTCAGCAGTAAGTTGCATTCCCACTCACTATCTTCATGTGATTTATGAATATATATTCATAAATATATATGAATATATATATATATGAATATATATATATATGAATATATATATATATATATATATGAATATATATATATATATATATATATATATATATATATATATATATATATATATTTATATATATATATTTATATATATATATTATATATTTAGTTTATGTTTATGCATCATTGTGCATCCCAAGTTTTCTTGTGTATTCAGTTTGTGGCGGGAAAATGGAGGGAGAATTAAATAGTAATGTTCTAATTGGTACTTTGTGGGAAGCTGTGGACTTTGTGAAACCTTTGAAACACAACATTTTTTATTTTCTCAGATACCTTTAAGTATAATTTGCACATATTTTAATTGAACTTTTTTTCAGGAATATAACATTTTAATTATTATTCTTATTATATAGAAGATTGCTTGTATGTCCATTGATTAAGAATTCTTTTTTTAAAATCTGAAACCTTTTGTTAATCTTGTACATGCATACAGTATGTACCTATACGTTCAATCATGATGTTGTAGGGAAAGAAGGCAATAGATATTAAAATAAGAAGAATATCACTCATCTATTCATCATATTTGCATACATCATATATATCTATTCATCATGTTTGCCCGAAACGCATTGCGTAATAGTGGCTTTAGGCATTGTATGTACTAGCTCTACCTATATATCAATCCATTAATGTAACATCACTTGTATGTATGTACCTTACCTGAATAAACATATTTATTTATTTATTTATTTATATTAATTGTATTATAGAATTGAAAAGAAAAAAAAAATAATAATAATAATATAGAGTCATATAGAGGAATGTCATTAGTCTTCAGATGCTTAAGAAAGTTATTGGTGTTCACGGAGTCAAAATTATCTCTTGTTAGGTTTATTGTATAATGTATGGTATCATTCAAAAGAGATGTTGTTTGGTAAAAATTACATGTAGCTACAAAGATATTGACAAATTATGGTAACATTTTGCTTCATCACAAAGTAAGTCTCTCGACTCGCTAGTGAGAGTCTCTGTACAGAGAAACATACAGCATCACGCATTTGTACGAGAAGTTTTTGCCAGTAGAACAAAGTCTATTATGGACTATATTATAACCTGCCGATGTATTGGAAACTAGTCCTCAGAGGTGCGGAGATAGGTGACTGGTATCCCAATGTTTGGCAGTTCATTTCTCGGAAACTGCTGAGTGTTAAGATCTGATATTATGGAACGTGGGAGAATTGTGTTTCTGTACTCTTTTTACTTGTAATATTTTTGACTGTGTTCTTCCTGCATTCGAAAACTCGCATAAAAAGATTCTATGTTCAGTGAATCGTTTCTGGGGAACCACCGTGCCTGTTAAAGTCTCGTATTAATGTGCAAGGTAGCATTGTGTGGTTAGTGTGTGTCCGTAACATTTTCATTTAATTTAGGCAAAAAAATCAGCCCACAATTTATGGGCTGATTATGGGCAAAATCAGCCCACAATTTATGGGCTGATTTTGGGGCTGGTCTTTGACCTTATTTATTACATATAATATGCCTTGTTGTGGACCATACCTCTGTCTGAAAATAAAATAAAACATTAAATATAAAGTCTTAAATTTAACAAATCAATAAATAACCTTTTCTTGATTTTTGTAAGAACCATTTATTGGCCTAAGGGCAACAGTGTTATTTTTATTCGTATAATTCTCCATTAAATTAGCCAGGCCCATAGTTGAGTCTTTGAGATTTTGTGTTTTTATAATTCCTTGTTTTTTTTCCGATTCTTACAAAAGAGACGCTTGGTTAAATTTGATTTGATGTTGCAGAGTTCTCTCTCTTCACACCCATTGATGGTGTAAGGAGATGTACGTGGACCGTGAATCCTTTTGGAATGTGATGCACATACCAGTCTTTAATGGAAACGTTTTCAGACACAGCCTAATCAAGGTGAGATTTTTGCATTTTTACCTCTAGGCTCAAACTTTATAACAATAATAATAGTAATGGTAGTTTATTTAGGTAAAAGTACTGTACATAGATGCAAAATGAGCTACAAGCAGACTTCAGGATTTTTTATGCTTTATAGTGTTACTCTTGTCCATGCTTAGCTCAAGTTATCCATGCAGAACCATAAAATTTATTATGGTAAATAATAAGCTCCTAAAAGAGATGCTTTTAGACATAATAGAATACAAAACAGTGTATTGCTTATCATTTGATTAGTTTTGTTGGGGCAGGGAGCCTGTGTATCTATATATACTTCACGCTTGTTCTGTATCAAGGTTCCCCCCTAAAGTCGAATTACCGACCCTCCCCTAGGATACAACCCTACAACAGTTGCCTAACTGCCGGGTACTTATTTACTGCTAGGTGAACAGAGGCATTAGGTGAAATGAAAGGAGCCAAACCATTCTGTCCCACCTGGGAATTGAATCTGGGATCCTCAATTGTGGGGTGAGAATGTAGTCAGCTGTACAAAGAGATGCCAAACAAGATACAAAAATCTTGCTTGAAAAGGTTAAATTCCATTTTCTGTTTTTTTTTTTTAGTATTATTGTATTTACTGTTTAGCATGGTGAATTTATTTTGTTTTGTGTGAGGAAAATATATATTAATTAGGGAATACAGAGACGAATTGAGCACGATTGGTGTCGCTGGGTGGCCCATTCTCTCAATTTGCCACTCCAAAAAAAATGCATCTCTTTTGCCTAATCAGAAACATGCAAACCTAAGCAACCCACCTAACCTGTTGAGGTTGATGCATAGAAAAATATCAATAAAAGCCTTAACAAAGTGCAAACGGAACAACCGAGGATTGGAAAGATGAATGTTAAAAAATGTCTTGCCAGACTTCATAGGAGAAGTAGAGAGTTGAGGTGAAGACACACCCAGTGGGCAACATTGGTTGAAAGTCACCCACGTTACATTCGATTTAATGTATAACATCGGTCACTTTCAACCAGCGGTGCCCTCTGGGTAAAAAATACTTTAGTCAAGAATGTCCAAATTCTCTTGATAGCTTCAAAAATAGAAGTAACACCTTCTTCAAGACAATTTCTTGCCCGTTCTTTAACATCTATGAAAATCAAAGATTCCATATACAATGCAAAAATCTTTTTGGAGCAATACAATGGAATCGAACTTGCGTTTTAGATCAGCTAAGAAGAATGTACTGTATTATCCACTAGACCACGATGGGTTTAAAAGTAACACAACCTGCCTAATGCATTCCTAACTATACAAAGGGTTTAGAAGGCACCGAGCGAGTACCAAATCCAATTTTTATGTTACTCGTCCACTGCTCATGCTTTCGTGTAGGTAATGAAGTCCAATTCTATTATTTTGTTTCGAAAAGATTTTCTCTTACATACACTGCATCTTGCTGTTGTGATTTCATTGTGCATTCCATATACTATGTTTGATAGCTCAGAGCTCACTAATTATCACTCCGTGCATTGCAAATAATGAGCACTAGCAGTGTATAAGAATTAATTTTTTCAACATTGTGTTAGGTGAGAGTAAACATAGCTGCGACGAGCCTGCACTAGGCCTAACCCCATTTTGTGTAGAAGCCGCCGAGTTAAGTTACAAAGCTGTAGACGGTATTAATAATTCCCATTGTCCGGGACAGAATGTCTGTACTTAGGTCAGTCTATGCCTCCCTAGGTCAATTTCTGACCTTCCCTAGGTCAGTTTCTGACCTTCTCCAGGATACAACCTACAACAATTGACTAACTCTGATACCTATTTACTACCTATTTCTGCCTCGCCCAAGGATCAGACTCAGGATCTACAGATTGTGGGCCGAATGCTTAGACCACCATGCTATAGGACCCTTAATGTACAAGTATTGCATAGTTTAAAGGCTGAAACATTATTTGGATGGATCTGCCATGTCACTGTAATTACGCAGAGTAATCATTTATATATAATCATACACTATATACAAGAGTTCTTACATTCTTGAACAGCCACTAGCTCGTATAGTGTTTCGAGCAAGTTCTTAATCCTAATTTTCCCTGGAACTCGACCCGCCAAATCGTTTAATAACCAGGTACCCATTCACTGCTGGGTGAACAGAGGCTACAGTTAAGGATTGGCACCCAGTCAATCCTCCCCCGGCCAAGACATGAACCCAAATCAAAGCGCTCGTGAAACGCCAAGCGAGTATCTTACCGCTTCACCACGGGGACTGCTTAATGTGTTGACATTAATCTCTTCACTTTCTGATTTTGACTTCAGTTTTAGCAAGAGGGAACACTAACATTATATAGCATGCATTAGAAATAAAAGTAACTCGTACAGCACAATATAATAACTGAAATGGCTATATAAATAATCAAGTAATAATACACTATATATATTTGACATGATATGTGTAGTACTGTAATGATGATTGCTTTATCAAATAAAGTTGCTACCTTATCGAAATTCAACTAAGGATTAAATGACATTCCAATTTTTTTTTTTATCCCATAACTTTTATATGCTACATTTATAAAGCAAATTTTATAACAAATAATAACCATTTTTATTAAAACAGTAATATATTGAAACCAAATGGCAATACTTTATTTAACATTAACAACTGTATTGTCATAATGGTTAAAATCACAGATAATTGGATTCACTGAGATACAGTATACACAACTTTGGAAATTCTGTAATCTCGTCTATCATATATATGGGAATTCTGATGAATTACATTCCTTCAAAACTTTGAGAGCTTTAGGCCCAAACCGGTATACAAAGCTTCTCTCTGACACGGGCAAAAGGGCTCCAGTGGCATAGTGGTAGCGTAGTCCCCTGGCAAAGTTTTCATAGCTCAAAGTCTCGCCGGCATGTCTACCGGTCCGCCTTCCCCACCGCTGCGCTATGACCGAAGGTTGAACGAGCCGGAACACTCCCGAGGTTTCGTTCTCCCAGCGGATGAGGGATGGATTAGTTGTGGGATCCTTGAGAAGACGTACCAGATACTCCCAGGATTTTGGCCCACGAAGTCTTTTCTTGCGATTTGTCAAGATCTTGCCAAAAAATGGATCTTTATCTTCCTTTTCCGTGTCATCTGGCGATTTGTTATGGCCTGTTAGATTCAGCGGAACATTAGTCTGTTGTAATGCCGCTCTGTTACCCGAAGAGTTTGAAAAGTTTTCTGGGAGAGGTGCTCGGCCATTGACAATAACAGGTCCCCCAAGCTGTTGATTGTGTACTTGCAAGCTGAACTGACTCAGGGAAGCATGTGAGCGGTATGTAGGAGGAACTTTTACTAGAAGATGACTACTGTGGCTGCTGCTCCCCTGATGCTCCTGCTCCATAATCTCGTGTGAAGGCCTTGCTGGCTCACTGTCAATTACCTGCAAAACAAGTAAATGAATAATTAAAGAATTGCAAACATCTACGAGTAGGTTGGGGAAAATTGGGAGCGAAATTTAAATAAAATGTTTCTATAACGAGGTGTTGAGAATTATAGAGAGGAAAGTAATAAGATGTTGAATTGTGATGTAATTTGTCAAAAAATGAAGTGTTGTAAATTGAACATGACAAAATATGTATACAGCATATAACTCAAGTGGTGTTAATTAATCGTACCAGGTCCATCGTTGTGGTACAACCCATCCTCTCAAGTGGTCATCTTATCTTGAGTTATCTTGAGATGATTTCGGGGCTTTAGTGTCCCCGCGGCCCGGTCCTCGACCAGGCCTCCACCCCCAGGAAGCAGCCCGTGACAGCTGAGTAACACCCAGGTACCTATTTTACTGCTAGGTAACAGGGGCATAGGGTGAAAGAAACTCTGCCCATTGTTTCTCGCCAGCGCCTGGGATCGAACCCAGGACCACAGGATCACAAGTCTCGCGTGCTGTCCGCTCGGCCGACCGGTTCCCTAATGGTGTTAATGAACTGTACCAGGTCCGTTTTGTGGTACAACCCATCCTCTGAAGTGGTTCTAATTAACTGTACCAGGTCCGTTTTGTGGTACAACCCATCCTCTGAAGTGGTTCTAATTAACTGTACCAGTTCTGTTTTGTGGTACAACCCATCCTCTGAAGTGGTTCTAATTAACTGTACCAGGTCCGTTTTGTGGTACAACCCATCCTCTGAAGTGGTTCTAATTAACTGTACCAGGTCCGTTTTGTGGTACAACCCATCCTCTGAAGTGGTTCTAATTAACTGTACCAGTTCTGTTTTGTGGTACAACCCATCCTCTGAAGTGGTTCTAATTAACTGTACCAGGTCCGTTTTGTGGTACAACCCATCCTCTGAAGTGGTACTAATTAACTGTACCAGTTCCAGTATTGTAGTACAACCCCGCATCTCAATTAATGTGCTTCATTTTGTATGATATGGTCCCCAGCATACAAAATATAGGGTACAGTTACTATGAAAAGTGATTTTCACAAATATCCACATTTTCTATGAGTAGGTTAATTAGGTTAGGTGTTTAATATTAGGTGGCTTCATGCATTTTAGTACCCCTCTATTGGAGAACAAGTCGCAATAACCTGCTAAAAAATAAAGTGCACAATCCACACATACGAAAAGAAACGAAAGGGACAATATTTTGGCTCGTCGTGGACCCTTATCAAGTGGTAACTAAACGGATAATATTAACATACATATGCAAGATTATCATTACTCTGTTTTCCTTTTTCATTGGGTTGGGAGGCATCAGCCTGGAGAAAAGTGGTTATAGATATTAGAAAGAAAAAACTCATCCATTTAAAAATACTGAATAACACTCCATCAGGGAGCCAGTCGGCCGAGCGGACAGCACGCTGGACTTGTGATCCTGTGGTCCTGGGTTCGATCCCAGGCGCCGGCCAGAAACAATGGGCAGAGTTTCTTTCACCCTATGCCCCTGTTACCTAGCAGTAAAATAGGTACCTGGGTGTTAGTCAGCTGTCACGGGCTGCTTCCTGGGGGTGGAGGCCTGGTCGAGGACCGGGCCGCGGGGACACTAAAGCCCGAAATCATCTCAAGATAACCTATGGATAAAACTAGCACCACCACACTCCAGCAGCCATCCACAGCAGCACACTACCACTTCATACACCAGTCTCACGGAGTCTTACATATTATATAAATACATTTACTCTCTCCTTACAAAGCACTTCTTCCAGCCGTTTTACCTGCCATATCCCCTGCCTACCTTTTTTCTTTTTCTTTTTATAACCAGGAATTTCACAGCCCAAGTGACTTTTTCGTGAATGAACATGTAGATAGTTATATATAACTTGCTGTCTTTATGTAGTGATACACACATATATATATATATATATATATATATATATATATATATATATATATGTCGTACCTAGTAGCCAGAACTCACTTTTCAGCCTACAATGCAAGGCCCGATTTGCCTAATAAGCCAAGTTTTCATGAATTAATATATTTTCTCTAATTTTTTTCTTATGAAATGATAAAGCAACCCATTTCATTATAGAAGAGGTCAATTTTTTTTTATTGGAGTTAAAATTAACGTAGATATATGACTGAACCTAACCAACCCTACCTAACCTAACCTAACCTATCTTTATAGGTTAGGTTAGGTTAGGTAGCCGAAAAAGTTAGGTTAGGTTAGGTTAGGTAGGTTAGGTAGTCGAAAAGCAATTAATTCATGAAAACTTGGCTTATTAGGCAAATCGGGCCTTGCATAGTAGGCTCAGAAGTGAGTTCTGGCTACTAGGTACGACATATATATATATATATATATATATATATATATATATATATATATATATATATATATATATATATATATATATATATATATATATATATATATATATATATATATATATATATATATATATATATATATATATATATATATATATATATATATATATATATATATATATATATATATATATATATATATATATATATATATATATATATATATATATATATATATATATACATACATACATACATACATACTGGTATATAGTGATGGTGTTCAGTGATAATAGCAAAAACAGTATATTTTATTGTTCGAAGTATATAATATTTATATTTTATTTCTATACAAGAAGAGGTTTGTGAGAGTACATAACATTGGTGTTTGAACGTTAGATTCTTGCAACTCACTAACCTGCATGGCGTGTTAGTGACTTAAAGCCCTTTTTATGATATAAATTTCTCAAATGACATTAGTGAACGTTATTACTGCAATAAATAGTGAAAAATAAATAGGTGACATTGAAATAAATTTATAAAAATATATTTGCAGCAACACCTGCTGCTTGAATGGCCTGGACGACCTCCCCAAAGTCCTTACCCCGTGAACTCTCACGAGTCTGTGATATTATCGTGAGATTTCTTCAGTTCACAGCCAAAATAAGTAAATATTTTTTTATTCCTGTCATCAGGGAATGGCTACTCTAGCAGCAATTGAACAAAATATATTGAATTTACTGTTTTTGGCACACCACAAAATTGTCATGTAAAAGGGGTGTTAGGGGTTATCTTGGTTATCTTGAGATGATTTCGGGGCTTTTTAGTGTCCCCGCGGCCCGGTCCTTGACCAGGCCTCCACCCCCAGGAAGCAGCCCGTGACAGCTGACTAACTTCCAGGTACCTATTTACTGCTAGGTGACAGGGCATTCAGGGTGAAAGAAACTTTGCCCATTTGTTTCTGCCTCGTGCGGGAATCGAACCCGCGCCACAGAATTACGAGTCCTGCACGCTATCTACCAGGCTACGAGGCCCGAGGGGGTTAAGAAAGTTTATTGAATACTGATGCCGTATGATGGGATCGAACCCTAGTACTATCATGGTCCAGATGCTAGCATACTTATGCTTGAGGAGTTCTCTCCCATCTTACAATTTCAATATTTTCCTATAGATGTACAGTACAGTATCATGTTTGTGATTTAATTGTGCGAAAAATATATTATATATATAATTTTTTACAATATTTATCAATGAGGACCAGGATTTGTCGAACATTTCTGCACTTCACTTACAAAACCTGTACGTCTTTTAACAATTTTGGCAGCTTTCTTTAAATTTATAAAACAGTTTACAAGCTTTGAAACTGTATAATCCTAGATTATTATTGTTATAAAGAACCTTGTAGTGCTTTGGGGCTCATAAACAAAACTGCTATGGATAAGGAAATATGTAACAAGTTTTGTAAGTCGATGTGTAAATGCTGGAGGAATCCTGGCCCTGTTAACTAAACAAGACCGTGAGCGTCTTGAGGCCATAACTTACCAACGGAGGTATCTTCATTAATGGTGGAGGTTCTCTTAGATGTCGTTCAGGATCTCTCGGAGCAATCACTGGGTGTGGAATGGATTGAGGGCTGAGTTGAGGGTTTGGTGGGGATTTTAATTTATGCTGTAAGGGTCTCAATAATTCTCTGCGTAGATGTGAGGTAGAGCTGTTTTCCGGAGTACTGTCGGGGCCCCCGAGTGCTGTCGTTGCTGCACTGAGTGGTTCATGGGGGTCCTGTGAGAAAATGTAGGACTTGAGTAATATTTTCTTGGTCTGTAGCAAGTAGATTATCCCAATAATATACTCGCTACAGACATTTCATTCACTGGACATAATTCCCGCTATCGAGAGAACAGGAATCCTGTTCTTAGGTTTGTTGAAGTCCCCCAAAGCCAACTACTGGTCTTCTCCTAGGATGCAACCCAAAACAGTTGCTTAACTCCTAGGTATCTTATAAGATGCACCTAATTTACAAGGTCGTTTTGTGGACAAAAACAGTTCAAACGTGTTCATTCATACATTTCTTGGAAATGATTTTCAAGTGGTTTTATAGGGGGTAACCATATGATTTTTGTGCATGTAAATATAATTTATTTTCAGTTGGTGGGGGACCAAAACATTCGTCAGTCCGACAGAATAAATACAGTAGTTGGGCACCGTTTTAATTGTTTGCATAAAAATTGCCAAATACCTAATTCTTTTAGGTAATTGGTATACAGTATTGGCATTGTATTATAAATCAATCTTTGAGAAGTTTATTTATAGTACAATTCCCTCTTAAACATTTAAAACAAAGTTTATACTGTATATTATTATAGATTACAAGAGACTGGGAAAAATTTGAGTTCACGGTGTCTGGGGTAACAGGATTCATTTTCCATTGTGGTGGGGACAAAAGTCCTGTTTGGTTTATCAAGGTTTCCCTAGGACAACTATTGACATTTTCCAGGATGCGCTCCACAATATTTTCCGAGGCCCATGAACACTCCAGTGGTTTCAACGAAGACAGGAAGCCATTGGCTTGTTAAAGGTCCTGATGATTTTATAATTGTTATCATATGTCCTGAGGATTATATCTAGCTGGATGTTAAAAGTCGAGAGAGTTTTGGCATGTATGGCTCTGGCGGGTAGGCTGTTCCATGGGTTTATAACCCTATGGGTGAAAAAACATCTTCTGTTCTCAGTCCTACATTGTGGCTTGTTGAGCTTGAAACCATTGTTCCTTGTCTGTGTTCCATCTGACTTTTTGAAGAAATTGTCCGGATCAACATCCTCCAAAATGTTGAGTATTTTAAAAGTTTCAATGAGATCAGCCTTGTTATGCCTGTTCTGAAGTGTTGTTAACCCTGTGGCCATCAACTGTGTCTGGTATGAGAGTTGATTTAGTTCTGGAATGATTTTTGTTGAACTTTTTCCAATGCAGCTATGTCTTTCTGGGGCCAGATTCACGAAAGCACTTGCGCAAGCACTTATGAACGTGTACATCTTTCCTCAATCTTTGACGGCTTTGGTTACATTTATCAAACAGTTTACAAGCATGAAAACTTCCCATTCAACTGTTGTTATTGTTATAAACATCCTCCTGGTGCTTCGGAGCTCATTAACTGTTTAATAATTGTAAACAAAGCCGCCAAAGATTGAGAAAAGATGTACAGGTTCATAAGTGCTTGCATAAGTGCTTTTGTGAATCTGGCCCCGGAAGATGATGTCGCAATGCTTGGATGCAATAATCTAAGGGAAGGGGGGGGGCCACTCCAGATATTTATTCAGTTGAATTACTATACAGTATGTATCTTCATTTCCCTAAAGTCAGAGTAATGCTTGATTATTCCCAGGGTTTTATTAGCTTTTTTTTTCACTGCCGCTTCCACTTGTTGTGCAACTTTCAGTGACTGATGGATTCTGACTCCAAAGGTCTTTTTCTTCATCAATCTGCTGCAAGGCAATGTTGTTAATTTGGTAGTTGTACTGTGAGTTGTTATGCCCCACATGCAAGGTCTTGCATCTTTCGATATTAAAAAGCATTTGCCAGTCTTCTGACCATTTGTAGAGTTCATGTAGATCTCTTTGTAAAGCCTCAGAATCTTTTTCATTTCCCACTTTACAATAAATCTTAGTGTCATCTGTGCATTCGATGATGTGGTTTGCAATATTCTCGTCTATGTCATTGATGTATATGACAATTAGGGTTGGCCCCAAAATGACAATTAGGGTTGGCCCCAAAATGACAATTAGGGTTGGCCCCAAAATGACAATTAGGGTTGGCCCCAAAATGACAATTAGGGTTGGCCCCAAAATGACAATTAGGGTTGGCCCCAAAATGACAATTAGGGTTGGCCCCAAAATGACAATTAGGGTTGGCCCCAAAATGACAATTAGGGTTGGCCCCAAAATGACAATTAGGGTTGGCCCCAAAATGGACCCCTGGGGCACCCCACTTGCCACATTTCTCCAGGCAGATTTATTCCCGTTTAGAACAACTCTTTGTTTTCTTTGTTTTAACCATTGTTTTATCCATTCTAGTATTCTACCAGTTACTCCATGGGCCTGTAATTTCCTTGCCAGTCTTTTATGTGGTACCGTGTCAAAAACTTTAGCAAAGTCCATGTATAGTGCATCTCCTGGAAGTCCTTTGTCCGGGTAGCTGGTTAACGTTTCCAAAAATGACCGGGTTGGTAACGCAGGATCTATATTTAACAAACCTATGTTGCATTGATTTTACAAGAGTGTTCACTATGAGATGGTGAATGATTCCTTCCCTTAGGATTCTCTCCATGAGCTTGCAAATGCGTAATGTCAAGCTGATCACATGGAAGTTTTCTGCTGAGCTCTTACCTTGAGGTTACCTTGAGGTGCTTCCGGGGCTTAGCGTCCCCGCGGCCCGGTCGTCGACCAGGCCTCCTGGTTGCTGGACTGATCAACCAGGCTGTTGGACGCGGCTGCTCTCAGCCTGACGTATGAGTCACAGCCTGGTTGATCAGGTATCCTTTGGAGGTGCTTATCCAGTTCTCTCTTGAACACTGTGAGGGGATTGCCAGTTATGTCCCTTATGTGTAGCGGAAGCGTGTTGAACAGTCTCGGGTCTCTGATGTTGATAGAGTTCTCTCTCTCAGAGTACCTGTTGCACCTCTTTCTGCCATTTTTTGAAAATAGGAGTGACATTTGCATACAGCATTTCCAATCTAGGGGAACTTATCCCTTTGTCCACAGGTTTTCGGAAGAGGAGTTTCAGTGGTGTCCATAGTGCATCTGCAGTTCCTTCACTACTTTGGATTGAATTCCATCCGCACCTGGGGTTTTTGAGTCTTTTAGTTTGTTAATGCTCTTCTCGATTTTGTCGCACGTTAATGGAATATCCCCTTAATTTGTTCTCATCACCTCCTTTAAATATTTGTGTTGGTAATGGGATGTCATCTAACCTTTCTAGCGTGAACACTAGAAACCCACAACAGTTGCCTAACTCCCTAGTACCTATTTACTGCTGGGTGAGCATTTGCCACATTGTATGAAAGAACCAAACTACGGGCATCTTACCTTTTCCGCTTGGCGTTCAGTTGAGGCCCTGTTAGACTGAGACGACTCAGAGTGGTAGCCGTTGTCATCCGACACTTTCAAACTGAACTTATCATCATCGTCATCATCATTATCATCGTGTGGATCCTCAACATTATCAGAGATGCACAGTGAGCGTTGATCGTAGTCATCGGGAGAATCCAATGGCTCGTCTTTAATTGTATTGTCGTCATCTGAGGTAACCTATGGAGAAAAGTTATGCAACATCAACAACAGAAACAGTGTAACATAATCAAACCAGGAAAGCCAATCACCTTAAGTAAGTACCATGTCATTACAATCACCTTAAGTAAGTACCATGTCATTACAATCACCTTAAGTAAGTACCATGTCATTACAATCACCTTAAGTAAGTACCATGTCATTACCCCTTTTTACTAAATAATCCTCAGAGGTACAAGTAATATCGACATTGCTATCCAATTTTAATTATTGCATTTCCAGTTGAAAGGATTAATAGAGCAAAACTCTAAAGAGAATAAGTCACAATAACAATGCTGAAACAAATAATGCAACCCACTCATATGAAAATAAATGTGTGACAATATTTTGGCCCTTCCCAGACCCTTGTCAAGTCATGACAAAACATTAACAAGTACAGTACAGCAGATTCTTAATTCATAAACTTGTATTCCAAAAAGTACAATTATACTGGTAATGATTTTTCCAACATAATACAGTACAGTATTACAAAACGAGTAATGAATGATTAATTTTTCAAAAACTCGAACAATTAGATGAACAATCTTGCCTCAAAAAATGAACAATGTAGGCTTACTGGTAAAAACTAAGACAATAGGCAATTATCAGGGGGAAATTGCCAAGCCGTTACGACTATAGAGCGCTTGGAAGGGGTTTCTGGATAAGGATTTGGGATGGGACGGGGAAGAAAGGAAAGGTGCCCAACCACTTGGTGTTCCACAGTTAACAAAAGTACCACTTACCAAATTTTGGAAGGTCCCAAGCGATTGAGAACCACGATAGTTGGGAACTGGCAACAATGACTTTTCTTCCGCCCGTCCCTCACTAGACGAAACACTGGAACTTCTTTTAGTGTGTTCGAGTCCTTGGGTGTTGGGTTGAGGTGGTTCTTCGCTCCATAGTTGCTGCGCAGCGTCCACCTCCATAGGTGTTGATATCACGTTCATTTGTAATGTCTCGTTTGGTCTTGATGTATCATCTGGGTTTGTTTCGCTTGTCTTTGCGATTTCAGTAGGGCTTGTCATTTCACCAGGTCTTGCCATTTCACTAGGCCTTGTCAATTCACCAGGTCTTGTCAATTCACCAGGTCTTGTCAATTCACCAGGTCTTGTCAATTCACCAGGTCTTGTCAATTCACCAGGTCTTGTCAATTCACCAGGTCTTGTCAATTCACCAGGTCTTGTCAATTCACCAGGTCTTGTCAATTCACCAGGTCTTGTCAATTCACTAGGTCTTGCCGAGTCATTAGGCCTTGCCGAGTCACTAAGTCTTGCCGAGTCGTTAGGTCTTGCCATTTCACTAGGCCTTGCCATCTCATTAAATCTTGCCATTTCACTAGATCTGGCTATTTCATTTGGTCTACTTCTATCACTAAGCCTCATTGCCTCATTGTGTCCCATCAGGTGCATATTTTCATGTCTTTTCTGAGCCAGGTCCTTAAAATGAGATTTTCTTTTAAAGTGTAGCTCATCATGTTGTGGATGTTTTGCTTGGTCCGTCATACACGACCTTGGTAAGTCAGACGACTCGTGCTGCATCGTATTTGGAAGTCTCTCGTGACGGTAGACGGGAGGATTGACAAGTTCCTGTCGGTAAGAGCTGCGATGGATGTGCGGGGGGGTGTGTGTGTCTGGGATTTTGCCGAGGGCTCCATTTCCTTCTGGTGGACTGCAGACGCCATTGTGCCAAGGTCCATTCATATGTCTAGGTGGATATCGTTCTGGGATAGGAAGAGCGAGCCCTTTGACCTGCAATGACTTCGCAACCTTGATGAACAGGGGCAGGTCGGGCTGTGGTACTAGCACCTCCCCACGGTACATGTACGCCAAGAGATTCTCGAGCTGCTCTCTGCCGACATCCTGCAGAACAACCACAGGGTTCTGACCATTGGTGTTTGCAAATATTGCCGCAAAAAAGTTGCTGCAAGCCGAGAGAACCACCTTGTGGACGGGATACACATTTCCATCACAGGCTATAGTTGCGTCGCAGTACAGTTCCTGTAACGAGAGAAAGACAATCGTAGGTCAGAAAATAACATGAGAGGTGCAGTATAGGGGTTAGAGGGATATTACAAGCATTGTGTCCACAATAATTATCATAAATGTTAATTTATTATACGTAATTAAATTAATTATCAGAAACTTTTCTGCTCGATCGTTGCTCTATCGTATACAGCAAAGAACATGAAGTTATCATTTTGAAAGTATTTCCTGCTGTTTTATTAATTGAATTTCCTAGACCTTACTGTATAGGAGTAGATTAGAATGAATAAATGATACTGATATAAAAACACCTGTAAATATTATTGGTTAAGTAAAAAAATATATAGAGTAAAAATGTTGTATATATTAAATGCAGTCCACTTAAAATCCTGTCTACAATCAAACTAAGACCTAAAGATAATGTACTGTAATTCTGCCTAAACCAAATTACAAATGAATAACCACTTCTGAATAAAGCTTTTTATTTGATTTGAAAATAAGTAAGGTATATAAAAGTTAAAAATATGAATCACAATAAACAAAATTATATATTAAATTACGTACGGTAATTGTAAATTGTGTGAAAATTAATATAAAAATATTACCTGGAAACCTACATATTATAAAAATGCAGATGATGAGTCACAATAACATGGCTGAAATATGTTGACCAGACCCCACACACACTAGAAAATGAAGGGATGACGACGTTTTGGTTCGTCCTGGACCATTCTCAAGTTGATTGGGACTTGGACGGACCAATTGGTCCAGGACAGACCAAAACATCGTCGTCCCTTCATTTTCTAGTGTGTATGGTCTGGTCAACATATTATAAAAATCCTTCCCCCTCTCCCCCCCCCCCACAAAAATGAAAATAGCACTCCACTCTACTATTTTGGCATACACATTAAGTAATGTGTACACATTAAGTACACATTACTGCACTGAACGTACCTGGTTTCTGAAGTGGTCCAGGAGCCTCACGAACGTGAACGTGTGACTATTCCACCTTAAGTTGTACTGATTCTTCCCCGTCTCCATCTTCTCATAACTCAACTGCAATAAAAGAAATAAACTTCTTAAATACTTGGCAACAGTGCCGTTAGAACAAAAAAAAAAATGTGCTTCTCGAATGCTGTACTTTGCAACAGTGCTAATAGTCGATTGATTGATTGATTGATTGATTGATTGATTGATGATGAAGATTAAGCCAGCATAAGAGGTGGCTCTTGTGCTGGCTTATGCCCACCTACGGGCATGAGTAGCCCGTAAGTGATACGGTAGATGTTTTGAGCGAATTTGGTCTTTGGTCGTGTAACATCTTGAAGTGTGTCTGGGTCTCTCGTGTTGATAGTCAACACAAATTTTAACTACTACTTCAGCCCATCCTTCTGTTTTGGTAGTACTTACAGTAACGATGTAACCATAGTACATATGTACTATGGTTACAGTACTGTACCGATATACAACGCAGTTAGAAAAGTATAATTCGGTAGTATTGAATTTGGACAAACCGGTAAAGCTTTTCTATTTGTTACAAAGACAAACTACACTAACCTAATCTAACCTAAGGGAACCGGTCGGCCGAGCGGACAGCACGCGGGACTTGTGATCCTGTGGTCCTGGGTTCGATCCCGGGCGCCGGCGAGAAACAATGGGCAGAGTTTCTTTCACCTTATGCCCCTGTTACCTAGCAGTAAAATAGGTACCTGGGAGTTAGTCAGCTGTCACGGGCTGCTTCCTGGGGGTGGAGGCCTGGTCGAGGACCGGGCCGTGGGGACACTAAAAAAGCCCCGAAATCATCTTAAGATAATCTCAAGGTAAAACCTTCCTAGACTTAATACAGGCTATCTGAGGCCTAACAGAGTACATATGTGAGCTATACTAGGCCTAGGAATATTTAATTTAGTATTTTAGCTTCATTTTTTCAGACTATAAAGTGAATAGTACAAAATTCTACTATCGAATTGCTTATTACGTCAATGTTTGTACTATGATCTTGAGGTTATCTTGAGATGATTTCGAGGCTTTTTAGTGTCCCCGCGGCCCGGTCCTCGACCAGGCCTCCACCCCCAGGAAGCAGCCCGTGACAGCTGACTAACACCCAGGTACCTATTTTACTGCTAGGTAACAGCCATGATGCACATTGTTGCATAAAATACTATCTCAGCAGGAGGACGGGTTGATGTTTTGAACAGTTAGCAACAGTGCTGATAGTGGACAAAATATGTTATCTTACTATACAAGTTTATCTATTTTTTAAATAGATACAGTATTACAAAAATAATGAAGTTTTCTCGAAGGTAAAATTTATGTAGTATTAAATCCATACTGGCTGTAATAAGGATGTTATTCTATCCCTGACATGCATATATATATATATGTATGTATGTATGTATGTATGTATGTATGTATGTATGTATGTATGTGTGTGTGTGTGTGTGTGTGTGTGTGTGTGTGTGTGTGTGTATATCACGAAAATAAACACGTGATTAAGAATGTGACAATGTCAGACCACGGAGGAAAAATGAAACAGGAAATTTCCTTAAGTACTTTCGTATATTAAATACATCTTCAGAAGGTGTATGAATGACCTTCTGAAGAAATTGAATTGAAATTGAAATAAGTTTATTGAGGTAAAATACACACAAAGGGATGAGGTAGCTCAAGCTATTCTCACCCCGTTCAGTACATCGTGTTAATATATACATAGACACACATCACAAATAAACACATTACCAAACATTCTGAGAGGTAAAAATATACATTTCCTCCCTCGGAAGATGTATTTAATATACGAAAGTACTTAAGGAAATTTCCTGTTTCATTTTTCCTCCGTGGTCTGACATTGTCATATATATATATATATATATATATATATATATATATATATATATATATATATATATATATATATATATATATATATATATATATATATATATATATATATATATATATATATATATATATATATATATATATATATATATATATATATATATATATATTTAATGCCTCTTTTTGAATATCCTGTGGTGGAGTCAGTGCTATATACTGTAGTGGAATACATAGGTATAGAGTCGGTAGTATATAGCAGAAGATCTCCCAGAACCTCAAGATAACCTCAAGATAACCTCAAGAACCCCAGTGTGGTTCAAAGCACAGTATGTACAAAGTAGTCTTCCTGACCCGGCGCCCCATTTTTTGGGTAGTTACTTGCCTCTATCTACTTGAAATTTCTTCTAACAGTTATATTATTAATGCTTAGAAGACTTCGGAAACATTTTCCCCCCATCATATTTATCTTGATTTCCCATGATAAATCTATTCTATTGGAATAGATTTTCAACTCCATTTTCTATTACAGTTCTTTCACAGCCCTTTGGGCCGAGTCGCAGAAAGATTTATTATACAAATATCCTGTAATACAGTAGTCTATGTCCTCGGCTCACATTTCCCAGGGTCCCGGGTTCAATCCCCCCAGGCCGGACAGAAACGGTTGAGCACCTTTCCGTTCACCTGATGCCTCTGTTCACTTGGCAGTAAAGTAGGCACTCGGTAGTTAGGCAACTGCTGTTGGGGGGGGGGGGGTTACATCTTGCAGAAGGTCAGTAGTTTGTCTGGGGTTGGACTTGAGTAAGCCTACCTACAGGCTTCCTGTCCCCAACAATAATGGGAATTAACATTTATATATGTCAGGAGTCAGTTGTGTAGAATAATTCTAATTCTCGGCAAGTTGCAATAATGCTGCAACTTTCTTCTGCGTTGGCATGGTTTTTTTTCTCTCTTTTTTTTTTTTTTTTTTTTTTTTTTTTGTGTGTGTGTGTGTGTGTGTGTGTGTGTGTACTAACTTATTTGTACTCGCCTAGTTGTGCTTGCGGGGGTTGAGCTTTGGCTCTTTGGTCCCGCCTCTCAGCTGTCAGTCAACTGATGTACAGGTTCCTGAGCCTATTGGGCTCTTATCATATCTACACTTGAAACTGTGTATGGAGTCAGCCTCCACCACATCACTGCCTAATGCATTCCACCTGTTAACTACTCTGACACTGGAAAAGTTCTTTTTAACGTCCCTGTGGCTCATGTGGGTACTCAGTCTCCACCTGTGTCCCCTTGTTCGCCTCCCACCCGTGTTGAATAGTTTATCCTTGTCTACCCTGTCAATACCCCTGAGAATTTTGTAGGTAGTGATTATGTCTCCCCTTACTCTTCTGTCTTCCAGTGTCGTAAGGTGCATCTCTTGCAACCTTTCCTCGTAACTCATGCCTCTTAACTCCGGGACTAGTCTAGTGGCATACCTCTGAACTTTTTCCAGCTTCATCTTGTGCTTGACAAGGTACGGGCTCCATGCTGGGGCCGCATACTCCAGGATTGGTCTTACATATGTGGTGTACAAGATTCTGAATGATTCCTTACACAGGTTCCTGAATGTTGTTCTGATGTTAGCCAGCCTCGCATATGCCGCAGACGTGTGTGTGTGTGTGTGTGTTGAACACACACACACTTTAGTCGTATATCAAGGATCCCTCCCCTTCCCCCGAAGGTTGAACTACTGAACCTCCCCATGATGCAAACTCACAATAGCTACCTAATAATTCCTGGGTACCTATTTACTGCTAGGCGAACAGCGAAACCAGGTGAAAGAAAACGTGCCCAACGATTTCTGTCCTGCCCGGGCTTCCTGATTGGGAGTCGAGAATGACACCAACTGTTCCCAGAGACCCCTTATAATATGCACTCAATGATAACCTGGCTCAGATTGTCTTAATCTTCCCCAACGTCAAGAAAATGGTCAATTTAAAGTGTCCTCTCTTAACCTACCAGAGGACCCAAAACAGAAAACGGGACAGTATGTTGCTTTCGCGAGCCGCTATCATTTTCCAGTACGACGATCTTTTGGCCTTACGTAACGCATACGAGAGAAATGCGACGTTCGTTGTAGGAGGACAGGTTGTAGGAGGACAGGTTGTAGGAGGACAGGTTGTAGGAGGACAGGTTGTAGGAGGACAGGTTGTAGGAGGACAGGTTGTAGGAGGCCAGGCTGTAGGAGGACAGGCTGTAGGAGGCCAGGTTGTAGGAGGCCAGGTTGTAGGAGGCCAGGTTGTAGGAGGCCAGGTTGTAGGAGGACAGGTTGTAGGAGGACAGGCTGTAGGAGGCCAGGTTGTAGGAGGACAGGTTGTAGGAGGACAGGTTGTAGGAGGACAGGCTGTAGGAGGCCAGGTTGTAGGAGGACAGGCTGTAGGAGGACAGGTTGTAGGAAGACAGGCTGTAGGAGGCCAGGTTGTAGGAGGACAGGTTGTAGGAGGACAGGCTGTAGGAGGTCAGGTTGTAGGAGGCCAGGTTGTAGGAGGACAGGTTGTAGGAGGACAGGCTGTAGGAGGTCAGGTTGTAGGAGGACAGGTTGTAGGAGGACAGGCTGTAGGAGGTCAGGTTGTAGGAGGCCAGGTTGTAGGAGGACAGGCTGTAGGAGGACAGGTTGTAGGAGGACAGGTTGTAGGAGGACAAGTTGTAGGAGGCCAGGTTGTAGGAGGCCAGGTTGTAGGAGGCCAGGTTGTAGGAGGACAGGTTGTAGGAGGACAGGTTGTAGGAGGCCAGGTTGTAGGAGGACAGGTTGTAGGAGGACAGGTTGTAGGAGGACAGGCTGTAGGAGGACAGGTTGTAGGAGGACAGGTTGTAGGAGGACAGGTTGTAGGAGGCCAGGTTGTAGGAGGCCAGGTTGTAGGAGGCCAGGTTGTAGGAGGACAGGTTGTAGGAGGACAGGTTGTAGGATGACAGGCTGTAGGAGGACAGGTTGTAGGAGGACAGGTTGTAGGAGGCCAGGTTGTAGGAGGCCAGGTTGTAGGAGGCCAGGTTGTAGGAGGACAGGTTGTAGGAGGCCAGGTTGTAGGAGGACAGGTTGTAGGAGGCCAGGTTGTAGGAGGACAGGCTGTAGGACAGGTTGTAGGAGGACAGGCTGTAGGAGGCCAGGTTGTAGGAGGCCAGGTTGTAGGAGGACAGGCTGTAGGACAGGTTGTAGGAGGACAGGCTGTAGGAGGACAGGTTGTAGGAGGACAGGTTGTAGGAGGCCAGGTTGTAGGACGCCAGGTTGTAGGAGGACAGGTTGTAGGAGGACAGGCTGTAGGAGGACAGGTTATAGGAGGCCAGGTTGTAGGAGGACAGGCTGTAGGAGGACAGGCTGTAGGAGGCCAGGTTGTAGGAGGCCAGGTTGTAGGAGGACAGGCTGTAGGAGGCCAGGTTGTAGGAGGACAGGCTGTAGGAGGCCAGGTTGTAGGAGGCCAGGTTGTAGGAGGACAGGCTGTAGGAGGACAGGCTGTAGGAGGACAGGCTGTAGGAGGACAGGCTGTAGGAGGCCAGGTTGTAGGAGGCCAGGTTGTAGGAGGCCAGGTTGTAGGAGGACAGGCTGTAGGAGGACAGGCTGTAGGAGGACAGGTTGTAGGAGGACAGGTTGTAGGAGGCCAGGTTGTAGGAGGACAGGCTGTAGGAGGCCAGGTTGTAGGAGGACAGGCTGTAGGAGGACAGGTTGTAGGAGGACAGGTTGCTTGGGAAGCAACGCTTCAGTACACACTTTTGAGACCCTTTTGTAATGCGAGAATCCATGGAATGGTTGGTAGGATAGCAGTCTTGTATTTTGAGAACCCCGAAGTTTGAATGTCTGATGATGGAAGTGAATGGAATGGACTCTTATTATTCTGTTCTGGTCTCTCGCAGGGGTAACAAGCCCATTTAATTGTCTACCCGCCATAAAGCTGTAAAATGTAGCAGACAGATATTGTTTGCTGACATATCCAACTCTGCCCCACTTTTGTTAATAGCTTCCATTCTGTCCACTTTACTAGACTTCTCTCACTCAGCTTTTACTGACTGCTCTTTCCCCCCTGTCCCTTTTACTGACAGCTCTTTTCCCCCTGTCCCTTTTACTGACTGCTCTTTCCCCCCTGTCCCTTTTACTGACAGCTCTTTTCCCCCTGTCCCTTTTACTGACTGCTCTTTCCCCCCTGTCCCTTTTACTGACAGCTCTTTCCCCCCTGTCCCTTTTACTGACTGCTCTTTCCCCCCTGTCCCTTTTACTGACTGCTCTTTCCCCCCTGTCCCTTTTACTGACAGCTCTTTCCCCCCTGTCCCTTTTACTGACTGCTCCACACTGCCCGTTTTGCTTTTTATAGTCATTTTATCCACAATATTCCAAGACATTTCGTATGTTTCTTCACCTCAATCTCATATCCCAGCTCCTTGTCCACACAGGGTTGACAAGGCCCGATTGTTTAACACTGGTGGGACACGAACAAGGGGACACAGGTGGAGACTGAGTACCCACATGAGCCACAGGGACGTTAAAAAGAACTTTTTCAGTGTTAGAGTAGTTAACAGGTGGAATGCATTAGGGGGTGATGTGGTGGAGGCTGACTCCATACACAGTTTCAAGTGTAGATATGATAGAGCCCAATAGGCTCAGGAACCTGTACACCTGTTGATTGATGGTTGAGAGGCGGGACCAAAGAGCCAGAGCTCAACCCCCGCAAGCACAATTAGTTGAGTACACACACACACACACACACACACACACACACACACACACACACACACACACACACACACACACACACACACACACACACACACACACACACTCACACTCTCTGTCTCTCTCTCTCTCTCTCTCTCTCTCTCTCTCTCTCTCTCTCTCTCTCTCTCTCTCTCTCTCTCTCTCTCTCTCTCTCTCAACTGAACACATGCAGATGTACCTAAACGAGTCAATAAACCAGATCTATAACTCCATCTGGCGGGCTGGTCACAGTCCCCGTCAGTGCTTGCACTCACCCGCCAGCACACATGCAACCCGTGCATGCACTAGGAAGATGTGCTCTGCTAAACAAGAGCCACTAAATAGAGTCATTGCAGAGCTTCAGGCACCAGGGGGCCTCGTAGCCTGGTGGATAGCGCGCAGGACTCGTAATTCTGTGGCGCGGGTTCGATTCCCGCACGAGGCAGAAACAAATGGGCAAAGTTTCTTTCACCCTGAATGCCCCTGTTACCTAGCAGTAAAATAGGTACCTGGGTGTTAGTCAGCTGTCACGGGCTGCTTCCTGGGGGTGGAGGCCTGGTCGAGGACCGGGCCGCGGGGACACTAAAGCCCCGAAATCATCTCAAGATATCCTCAAGATACCTCTCGCCGGTTATTATGAGTGGATCCTTTGACAGTGTGGGAGGCCATTGGATCATTTGAGGCGCCAATAATGGGGCCATTGGATCCCCTACAGGATGGGGGGGGGGGGAACCCATAGCCCCCATCCTGTGAGGTGGGGGGGGACCAATAGCTTATCTCGTAGCTCAACCGCTGGACGCATTATGTAACCTTTCGTATTGCACAGGAAACCTGTGTGAATCCTTTCGTATAGCCTAGGATAGCTGTGTGAATCCTTTCGTATAGTCTAGGATAGTTGTATGAATCCTTGCATATAGTCTAGGATAGCTGTGTGAATCCTTGCATATAGTCTAGGATAGCTGTGTGAATCCTTTCGTATAGCCTGGGATAGCTGTGTGAATCCTTTCGTATAGTCTAGGATAGCTGTGTGAATCCTTTCGTATAGCCTAGGATAGCTGAGTGAATCCTTGCATATAGTCTAGGATAGCTGTATGAATCCTTGCATATAGTCTAGGATAGCTGTGTGAATCCTTTCGTATAGCGTAGGATAGCTGTGTTTACTAGTTGTGTTTTTGCGGGGGTTGAGCTTTGCTCTTTCGGCCCGCCTCTCAACTGTCAATCAACTGTTTACTAACTACTATTATTATTTTTTTTTTTTTTTTTTTTTTCCCCACACACACACACACACACCCCAGGAAGCAGCCCGTGACAGCTGACTAACTCCCAGGTACCTATTTACTGCTAGGTAACAGGGGCACTTAGGGTGAAAGAAACTTTGCCCATTTGTTTCTGCCTCGTGCGGGAATCGAACCCGCGCCACAGAATTACGAGTCCTGCGCGCTATCCACCAGGCTACGAGGCCCCTAAGCCGAGCTGTATGAATCGAGCCGTGTTGACGGGGACAGGAAGCCAGCAGCTTGTTCAAAGTCCTCCCCCATCCCCCGCCCCCCCATTGCTCCTTAGGAATTTTTTCTAGCTAAATTTTAAACTGCCAAAAATTAACGTAAATTTTCGAATCTAAACCAATTCATCAAATCGGCAAATGAGAGGTTATGAGCTATGGTTATGAGTGATGAATTAGGCTACACAAGTCTCCATTGATGATTTCTGTTGATGATTTTGCCTTTGAGGGAAGTTAATGACTTTTTTTTCGACTTTGGCACAATAGGAGCCTATTGGCATTGTGTGATTCGTTTTCTTTTTGGGGGAAAATCGTTTAATTATTTCCATTAGTCAGTCCACAACAGTTACCTCTAGCTAGGGTTGCTGTTTACTGCTAGGTGAACAGAGGCATGAGGCGACAAGAGACATGTTCTAACATGTCTTGTCTACTAATCTAACACAGCCTAACGTTACCATAGCTGACACAAGTGTTATCGTGTATCATAGGTCTGTGTCTCAGTGACACATGACACGAGGCCTGTGTCTCAGTGACACATGACACTAGGCCTGTGTCTCATCGACACATGACACTAGGCCTATGTCTCATCGACACGTGACAGTAGGCCTAGTGACACATGACACGAGGCCTGTGTCTCACCGACACATGACACGAGGCCTGTGTCTCAGTGACACATGACACGAGGCCTGTGTCTCATCGACACGTGACAGTAGGCCTATGTAGCATTGACACATAGGGTAGCTGAGGTTCAAACTTACTTCTTAGGAGTTCTGAAGAAGAGAAATGACGTAGGTGTATTCACAGCTCTACTGGGCACTGTATCACAGCTCTACTGGGCACTGTATCACAGCTTAATGGGCACTGTCACTCTCCTTATTGGGGCAGTGCCACCTCTTACTGGGCACTACCACACTCCTCACTCGGTACTGTCACTACGGACTGGGCACTGCTGCACTTTTCACTGGGTACTTCCATAGTTCTCAATGGGGGTACTGCTAGACTTTTTCACTGGGCACTGTTGCTTTTCCGGGTACTATCACTCCTACAGGGGAAGGTGTACACAGGGGAAGATGTACACAGGTGTACACAGGTGTACACAGGTGTACACAGGGAGGGCAGCGAGCGGCGAGACGTCCCGTCCCAGAATGAGGCGCGGAGCGGAGCTTCTCCTAGTGTGTATATGCCGACAGCTTCACCAACACTGACTGGCTGGGTTGGTACCTATACTGCAAACTCCGAGGCTACGGCGGGTGCTTCCCCTCCCCCCTCTTTCCCCCCCCCCTATCTAAGAACCCCCATAACCCCCCCTCCTCCTTCCCCTCTCTCATAATCTCCCTCCTTACACCCCCCATCTTCCCCAGATCCTTTTTTTTGAAACTATGCATCACTCTCTATCTTCACACACTCCTTTTCACCTTATAACTCCTTCGATTCATTTCCCCTCTCCCTCTCCCCTCTCCCTCTCTCTCCCCTCTCTCATCTCCATCTCTCTTCCCTCTCTCATCTCCATCTCTCTTCCCTCTCTCATCTCCATCTCTCTTTCCTCTCTCCCCCCTACTGTTCCCCTTCACCGTAGGGTTATCTTGAGGTTATCTTGAGATGATTTCGGGGCTTTTTAGTGTCCCCGCGGCCCGGTCCTCGACCAGGACTCCACCCCCAGGAAGCTGTCAGCCTGTGACAGCTGACTAACACCCAGGTACCTATTTTACTGCTAGGTAACAGGGGTACTAGGGTGAAAGAAACTCTGCCTATTGTTTCTCGCCGGCGCCTGGGATCGAACCCAGGACCACAGGATCACAAGTCCAGCGTGCTGTCTGCTCAGCCACCGGCCCCCTGTGTACTCACCTAGTTGTGTGTGTGTGTGAAGCATTGTTATGTATACAAGAAGACTAACAACACACATGTATCAGAGTATACATATGCGCATATTCATATTTTCCGGAATACTTGCTCCAAAAGCTTACTGATATCTTCCATGCTGCTAAACAGGAGGAAGCTTAAAGCTTAATTCTTAAATGAACAAATCCACAAGGGCCGTGACGAGGGCTCGAACCTGCGTCCGAGAGCATCCGAGACGCTGTTTGATTGTTAACTTTCTTAAGACGTGATTGTGTGAGCTTTTGATGATTGACAGTTGACCAGGAGGGAGGGAATTATCAGGGGGAAAGCGCCAAGCCATTACGACTATATAGCACTGGGAAGGGGTCAGGATTAGGGATGGGACGGGGGAAAGGAATGGTGTTCAACCACTTGTGGACAGTCGGGGATTGAACGCGGACCTGCATGACCGTAGCTCGAAGTTAACCAGGAGTCGTTAAGCGTTTACAAAACCCTGTACGAAACCTGTGCATCTTATCGCAGTCATGACGGCTTTGTTTACATTTGCGACAGTTTACGAGACTGGAAACTGCACCATCCAAGGTTGTTATTGTTGCAAACAACCTCGTTGTAGTGCTTCGGGGCTCATAAGCTGGTTAGTACATGTAAACAAAGCCGCCATGATTGCGGAAAGATATAGAGGTTTCGTCAGTGGCTGGGAAATGCTTATTGAATCATGGGAATCCCCCAGCCCTTCTTTCTTTTCTTATCTTGAGGTGATTTCGGGGCTTAGCGTCCCCGCGGCCCGGTCCTCGACCAGGGCCTCCTTTTTGTTACACAACCCCAGGAAGCAGCCAGTAGCAGCTGTCTAACTCCCAGGTACCTATTTACTGCTAGGTGAACAGGGGGGTATCAGGGTGAAAGACACTGCCCATTAGTTTCCGCCGGGGGATCGAACCTGGAACCTTAGGACTACGAATCCCGAACGCTGTCCACTCAGCCGTCAGGCCCCTTCCTCCCATCTCCAGACACTCATCCTCCCTTGACTCCCCCCCCCCCCTTCAAGGGTCAACCCCCTCCTAACCCTGGGGCAGCCCCCCCCCCCTCCCCCTTCTCTCTTCCCTACGACCTGTTGAGTTTTTCTCCTGTGACGTCACACCCCCGCGGCATGACGTCATGATGTAAACAACATCCGAACACAGAAGGAAGTGGAAGTTGGCGTCATTATCGCGGGTTAGGATGCCGTGGCTACTGGCGCTGAGAAGTGGAGATTAGGAAAACACTGGAGACGCTTGCTCTGTGTGTGTGTGTGTGTGTGTGTGTGTGTGTGTGTGTGTGTGTGTGTCCCCGTGTCCGTGCGCGCGCGTGAGTGTGTTGAAGATCGACCCGGACGCAAGAATCATCGTATCTGCAAGTCACGCCTGAGACTCGCTCAAGAAGACGAGGCCATCTCAAACTCTTGCGCGCGTGTGTGTGTGTGTGTGTTTTCCTCTTTCCTCTCAGCTTGTGTTTTAACCCCTCCCCCCCCCTACTGCGCACTACCCACATGCGCACATTACGCCGCATTAACCACTAAATCCTGTAACACGTTTGGCTTTGTTTTGATTTCTCCGTTTTCTAAAAAATATTTCAACCTGACCGAGTGGCAACCGACCTCTTGTATATCCGCCTCTTTGATTTAACTATTTTGTCCGCATATTAAACGGTGTCTTCAATGTGTTATGCAAGATTTACCTGTTGGGAAACTATGTATATTGCGTACTTAAAAGTTTTACTAAAAAATACATTATTACGGGAACTTTATTACGGTGTAATTAGCTGTAACCAGGTGTGCGCGTTCGCATCTGGGAAGGGTTTGGGGGGCTGGGGGTACTCTACCTCTCAAAGGATGGGTATGGGGTTCACTACCCCTCACAGGATGGGTATGGGGTCCACTACCACCCACAGGATGGGTATGGGGTCCACTACCACCCACAGGATGGGGGTATGGGGTCCACTACCACCCACAGGATGGGTATGGGGTCCACTACCACCCACAGGATGGGGGTATGGGGTCCACTACCACCCACAGGATGGGGGTATGGGGTCCACTACCACCCACAGGATGGGGGTATGGGGTCCTCTACCACCCACAGGATGGGTATGGGGTCCACTACCACCCACAGGATGGGTATGGGGTCCTCTACCACCCACAGGATGGGTATGGGGTCTACTACCACCCACAGGATGGGTATGGGGTCCTCTACCACCCACAGGATGGGTATGGGGTCCACTACCACTCACACGATGGGATATGGGGTCCACTACCACTCACAGGATGGGTATGGGGTCCATTACCACTCACAGGATGGGTATGGGGTCCACTACCACCCACAGGATGGATATGGGGTCCACTACCACCCACAGGATGGGTTTGGGGGTCCACTACCACCCACAGGATGGGTATGGGGTCCACTACCACCCACAGGATGGGTATGGGATCCACTACCACACACAGGATGGGTATGGGGTCCACTACCACCCACAGGATGGGTATGGGGGTCCACTACCACCCACAGGATGGGTATGGGGGTTCACTACCACCCACAGGATGAGTATGGGGGTCCACTACCACCCACAGGATGGGTATGGGGGCCCACTACCACCCACAGGATGGGGTATGGGGTCCACTACCACCCACAGGATGGGTATGGGGGTCCACTACCACCCACAGGATGGGTATGGGGGTCCACCAGCACCCACAGGATGGGTATGGGGTCCACTACCACCCACAGGATGGGTATGGGGTCCACTACCACCCACAGGATGGGTATGGGGTCCACCACCACCCACAGGATGGGTATGGGGTCCACTACCACCCACAGGATGGGTATGGGGTCCACTACCACCCACAGGATGGGTATGGGGTCCACTACCACCCACAGGATGGGTATGGGGTCCACTACCACCCACAGGATGGGTATGGGGTCCACCACCACCCACAGGATGGGTATGGGGGTCCACTACCACCCACAGGATGGGTATGGGGTCCACTACCACCCACAGGATGGGTATATGGGGTCCACTACCACCCACAGGATGGGTATGGGGGCCACTACCACCCACAGGATGGGTATGGGGTCCACTACCACCCACAGGATGGGTATGGGGGTCCACTACCACCCACAGGATGGGTATGGGGTCCACCACCACCCACAGGATGGGTATGGGGTCCACTACCACCCACAGGATGGGTATGGGGTCCACTACCACCCACAGGATGGGTATGGGGGTCCACTACCACCCACAGGATGGGTATGGGGTCCACCACCACCCACAGGATGGGTATATGGGGTCCACTACCACCCACAGGATGGGTATGGGGTCCACTACCACCCACAGGATGGGTATGGGGTCCACTACCACCCACAGGATGGGTATGGGGTCCACTACCACCCACAGGATGGGTATGGGGTCCACTACCGTCCACAGGATGGGTATGGGGTCCACTACCACCCACAGGATGGGTATGGGGTCCACTACCACCCACAGGATGGGTATGGGGTCCACTACTATTCAATATTATACAGAAAACATATAGATTCACTGTATTGCAATAGATTCTACAGATACAGTACAGAAAATTATTTCAAATCATAAATTCAAATAAAACTGAGCTGTCTGTAACGGGTTTTCATAAGTTGTATTATGAATTATTATGTAATATTTTTTTCAAAGCCATTCTATGTATGGTTTTGAAATGCGCCTGCGACGTTGGAAAGAATTCCCGCCTCTATTACCCCCGTGCTTAAAGACCATTTTAAGCGTCCCAGAAGCGATCATCAGTGGGCAACACGACTACACTCTGACGTCACAAGCGGTGGTGCCATATCTGCAGCAAATCCTGTAGTCAGATAACCTACCCCCGTCAACATATACATGTATAAATACATATAGTCTAATACATAAATTATGAATGGACAATAACGCATCAAATACTA